TGATTATGTATACATTTATGAATATATGTGAAATAAATGTAATTAATCAAATTAGAATATGTTTATTAATATGGGTGTTAAATATTGCATGGATAAGTAATTGTATAAAGGTTTGATCCGAGTGAGGAGATGACCTGATGCATAATGTTATCAGGTTGCAAAGATAAGTAATTGTATTAAGGTTTGATCCGAGTGAGGAGATAACCCTATGTCTAATGTAATCAGGTTACAAAGATAAGTAATTATATAAAGGTTTGATCTGAGTGAGGAGATAACCCGATGTATGATGGTATCTATTAGCAAAGATAATTGATCACATAAGGGTTAGCTAACTTGAGGTGTGATCTTATCATAGTTTGCTAGTTTAAGTTTGCTAATTTTATTGCATCATACATTTTTGGATGTAAGAAATTACCACAACCAAAAGTGGCGCAGTAAAAGGGGCTTCTCTATTTTCAAATTTGGGTTTTCAGATATTACAGATTCCATTTTTTTAGAATAGAGACCTTAAACTCGAACCAAGAACCCCCCCCCCCCTCCCTTAACCCCTTCTAAAGCTTGTATATTGAAAGGCTTTGGGGGATATGGCGGGTATAAGGCGGGGCAAAGTATTAAGGTCAATGGCTGTTACTAAGCATGCTAGAACCACCTTGAAAGCTTTCAAACAAGTCTAAGATCCAAGCTTGTTTATGTATGAGTCAGTTAAAATTCTAAGTTTTGTAACAGTTGAAAATTAGTTTATCATACAAACTAAATAACTGACTTTGCAAAATGAGCCCCCCCCCCTTCTAATGAAGCGTAAAATGATATATGGACTATATACTTCAATTGCAAAGAAAATTGTTGAATTGTCCAAATCTAATTTAGTAGAATATCTACGCTCATTACATTGCATATGTTAAAAATAAACCCGCTAAATGCATTTTTAAAATTGATAAAATGCGTCTTAGTGAGGAATATTTACATATTGTCAATTCCATATTGCTAAATACACATGTAAAATTGTACATTGTACATTGTACACTGTATGTTGTATAATTATAGTTTTTATGCCAAAATTCTGGAACTTTATTTCATGAAATGGTTATTGGTTAAATCTCCAAAAGGTCATACACTAGAGCATTGTAGGAGAATGATGCCATGAAACTTAATTTATATTCTACTGTTATCTGTCAAAAAATAAATAATTTAAACCATTTTGCATAGATTTTTGTCATTGAAAAGGATACTTTAATGAACACATAAATCTCTAGCCATAAGATTAATGTGACAAAGTTGCCTCTTGAACAGGATATTTAAACAGACGCTTACAAATCTGGCTCCCTGTAATCAATGTGAGCAAGTTGTAACTTAAAATGACATACAAATCTTGAATTATGTTGGGTGTAACAAAGTTCACTATTTCATTCAAAGTTTGCAATCAAAATTTTTAATTATTTAGCTTATTACATTAGTTGAAATGTTGGATTTTGCCATATACTATATTTAACTGTTTTACATATTTGGAAATAAATAATTAAATAACACTTAGCCTATATTTTAATTTTAGTAAGGTTTCACCACAAATAATTTTTAATATATTGAATGCTCGAACTAAGAATGCACACAGTGAGAATACCGTATATTTTATGGGTTTACTGAGGCCACAATTTCGGCACAAGTGCTTTAAACATAAGCAATAAAACATAAGCAATAAAACAAGGAAGAATCGTTTTTTTTCTACAGTAACCTTTTAACAAAACTCTTCCATGCTAAAAAACGTTGAAAAATCAACTGTGGCAACTAACAATCTTTATATAATTCTGAACATACAAAATCATCCATCAAAATATTAAATCTGTTGTTTGTGGCTGCTAACGAAGACGACTTCACCGTCATTTTTGGGTCCCACAATCATGTTTACTGCAGCGATAGCAAGAAAGATAGTTAGATACAAGAAGATAGATAGATAAATCACCCGGCTCCTTGACCGCTAAAGATAGATAGATAGCACACTATCACTATTGGGCAAAAAAAATCTCGCTTGTGTTTTATTGGATAAAAATTCTAATAGACTGCGAAACGATGGTGTCAGGGATGTTTAAAATAATGGAGGGGATGGTAGGGGGGGAATGTCTGCCTTCCCTCCAGTTTAGAATTAATGCATAACCTGCATAGATTAATGCAGGAGAATGCAGTCGGAAAACTTGTAATCCCTTGTCAAGTGTCTAATGCATTTACTGTCTACCAAATGCACCAAGATTGGTTTACAGAATAGTTTTCATTTCAAATTAACATGATACCTCAGAAGTTTAATTTTATGAATAGAAAGAAGTAGCTGAACTAGGTATGACTGTAACTAATTTTAAACTTGCAGTCTAACTCGTTTAACCTAGGGCTGTGCAACATTCTGTTAACAAACGGCAAAAAAAACTTTGTTTTTTAATTGTTAACAAAATTTCTTGGAAAAATTAACAGTTTGTAAAAAGTTACGTTAATGTTTCAACTGGAAGTTGTATTAAACTTATAAAAATAAAAAACGAATTTCATGTAATTTGATGTTTTTATGTGTTTTGGTGTATTTAATGTTATTTTTCATCTATATTAACATGAAATAATTGTAGATGGCATGTTAACAGCTGGAACTGTTAACAATATGTAAAATATCTTCTTCTAACGAAATAAATAAATTGAGATCGTTAATTGAAAAAAAGAAAAGAAAATACCGTTAACATACAGATCATTCATTTTTTAGCTAAAGAACAATCAGCTGCCAGTTGTTTGTTGAAAATGATTAACGAATGATTTGAAAAAAGTCTGAATGTCCCCAGCCCTAAGTTAGTCTGAATGTCCCCAGCCCTAGTTTAGTCTGAATGTCCCCAGCCCTAGTTTAGTCTGAATGTCCCCAGCCCTAGTTTAGCGGCAGACAACTTCTCCCAATTCTTGATTTATAAGTCAAGGTTCAATTTCAAATATCTCCGGTATTAGTTAATTTCAGTTTTAAAATAGAATTAGTTGAACCATTCAGGGCTACTTAAACTTCCTTTCTCGTATTGAAAAATTCTTACTTTTTCTAATTTTGACGCTTAAGGGTTTTGCAGAATCAATCTAAATTTTTTATATCATGAACTAGATTTTGGGCATCCAGTTTTTCCTAGTCATAATTTGCGGCGATCCTGGGGTTCATTAGTTAGGATCGCACATCCAAGCAAACAGACAGGGATACAAAATGAGATTACCATTCTGTTGTAGAATGTGTAGACTGTAGAGAAAGGAAAATATTTATTTTATTTTATATATTTATTATGAATTAAATGTACGTGGATGCTTGCGGGGGGAAGATGTCATACTTGATAATAATTTCTAATCCTAACCCAACCCACTTACACCTTTTTATCTTTATATAGATTTCACTTGTGTGTCTGTCTTTCTGTATCCATGAACGTCAAACTACGGAACCAAACCGGCCCAATTTTTTTGTGAAAACTCCATGACCACAAGTAGGATTCATGGCCGGTTGAAACTAAAAATTTGGGCCTAACAAAATTTAGATTTAAATATAAGTGATGGTGATGGACCAAACCTGTTTAGAGTAAAAAAAAGTAGGTGTTAGTTCCACATTTAATGAAAATATATTTTGGTCTGGGTTGACCCTCGTCAGTTGTTTCTGTCAGGAAGATTAAAAACAAACCCTAACTTAGATTTTTTAATTTTTAGAAATCCATATTAACAATAAAATCCCAGAAATGTTTCGTTTTACAAATACAAGAAAATATGTTTTATACATTTATATTCCAAACATTAAACTCTGATCTCGGGTTGCAAAGATCTAGAGATTAGAAAAACACTTTCAACAATTTAAGCACGGTCAGCCTTGTACATTTGAATTTCCGAGCCAGGTCAACCTTTCCGGTCCCAGTTTGTACTGTACCACCCGGACATTGCAGGTAAATAAAGCAGACACTCAATAGGACTAGCCGGTGCAACATGGTTGACGCGGTCAGACTTTAGGTTAAAGTAATTGATTCTATGTAACAAACTCTAATCTCTACATCTTTTCAACCTAAAGTAGTAAAACTTTAATATTTCAAACTATGAATTATATTAGATTAAGTAATCTAAGTTTGAAATATCAAAGGTTTACGCCTTCCGGTTGCAGAGATATAGGGATTAGAAAATTTGAGTTTGTTGCAAAAACTCAATTCCTTTGCTTGAAGAGGTGCGTGTATGAAAAATTTCAGTTTCAACAATAATTCAACGTTTTTCTGCCATATTAATTACTTTTAATAAAAAGTAAAGACACATTATTGTCTTCACTTTTTTAAAGTAGATTTTTAATTTGTTTTATCTTGTTCAATCTGTCTGAAACAACTAATAATATTAAATTTTTATTATATATATTCAATATAAACATAAACTATCTAGATTATTTACAAATCACAACATGTATTTTATTATTATTTTTTTCATCAATTAATATCAAAATTAATATATTAAAAAATCAAAAAATTAAATATATGTCTCAATGTTTACTCTTTTGCACCATGTTATATTAAAATTTGTATTTAATTGTATTATAGCTTTTGGAAAATATTTTTGAAAAAAAAACAATGATAGTCAAATTTTTTTATGTTTCACACTTTAAAATAAAACGTTTGAATATTGAAAATTTTCCTTGCAAAAATAAATTTTAAAACAACTTATTTTGTGATTGGAATAAAACGGCATCTTTATTTATTTACATTTTTTTCATTCGAATATTATTGTTTGTGGCAAAAACTCAATTATCTGTTTGTTCAACATTTTACCCCAACAAAAGATATTTACTCTAACAAAAGATATTTACCCTAACAAAACAGTGTTTTATAACGTAACAAAAGCAACCTTAAAGAGCATACAATTTTTAAATGTTATAAACATTTGAGAATCTTGAAATTATTAAAATTAATAAAAATCTAAAAACAAATGTAAAAAAAAACTATATTGCCATCTACTGTTATAAATTAAGGTTTAGTTGTAAAATAGCTTGAATTTGAAGTTTAACTTCTATTTATTGCCACCAGACTAATTTCGTTTTTCATGTAAACCTGAAACAAGTTCGCACAACACAGTCAATTCGTAATAGACGTCATTCATGTTGTGAACAAAGAAAATAAAAAATTTTAAAAAACTAAATTGCTTTGAATAATTTATTTGTTAAAATCGATTCTGAAATTAGAACTAAGGATTCTTTTGTAGAAAAATAACAAAACACATATTTTTAACATTGACAAATTGCACGGAGTTTTTTTTTATAGTAATTTTACTAATAAAATTAGGATGTTTTCCAATGCTCAATCCTCTTTACAGATGATTCCTGCAAGCCCGCAGTTTAACAGCTTCAGCTCGAGTCTTAATTTCTTAGACCCAGCTTCAAGGCTGAATCTTAGATCCAACTTATGAATCAGCTGACGACATTGTGTCACATGATCAACAGCTGCCAGCTCTGAGACCCGATTTAAGGACTTAGACCCAATGAAAATAAAGCAATCCGACCTTTTTTGATTTTAGTGGAAAATTAGTCTCAATACATGTTTCGAGTCTTATTCTAATCAATTCCCGGAATCCGCCAAATACAATATTAAACTAGTTTAATAAACCCAACTTTAAGGAGAATTAGTTGCAACTTAGATCCCAAAGTTAGAGTCTAAAATTAGTCTCAATGAAAGTTTAGACCTGAGTCTTATTTTCACAAATTTTGAAATCGCAGGCTCTGATCATTTTTAAGATTTAACAAATATATGGCGTACATAAACATTGAACAGCAAAGTATTTTCTAGAAACAGGAGATGATACTGATTAAAACAGGACTAATGATACTTGTGAACAGGATCCTCACTGCTTCAGATGTTACAGGTTCAGGGGCTATGGCTGAAAAAATACTCCTTTAAAGGGACTGTAAGCGTAATTTAGGTGCCCTACATGCAAAAATGGCAATTCCCGATTCACAACGGTACCGACCTTAAAAGCTTTGTCTGATCAAGTATGGATTATATATCATTGTTTATAATTTTGAAAACTAATTTTTTTCAATTGTGGTATCTCTACAGTTAGGACCAGAAAAATGTGGAATAAAAAGACGACATTTTAGCAATGCTCAAGTGTATTTGATGTTGTCCTTAAGTTCAATGGGTCTGATAACACTGCACAATCACTGTGTCTCGTGTTCATTGGACTATTTAAAGTCATAACTTGAGTTTAAAAGTCTTCCTAATTCAGAGTTTTATGGTTTTCACCGTACAAAAGTGACGTGAGCATTTCTACTGCAGGAAAACATATGAAAATTTTAAAAACATTAAAGATTTTTAAATCTAGAAAAACAATAATATCTTCACAAATTATTGATCAGATAAAGGTTTCAAGAGTACTGTTGTGAACTTCAAAAATTTTTTTCGCAAAACCATTTAGAAATTAGAAATATTTAGTTCACAATATTAAACTATCAAAACCATTTAGAAATAAAGAATATTTAGTTCACAATATTAAACTACCAAAACCATTTAGAAATAAAGAATATTTAGTTCACAATATTAAACTATCAAAACCATTACGAAATAAAGAATATTTAGTTCACAATATTAAACTATCAAAACCATTTAAAAATAAAGAATATTTAGTTCACAATATTAAACCATCAAAACCATTTAGAAATTAGGAATATTTCGTAAATAATATTTAACTAATGACCAATTTAGGACAGAATGCTTGGAATGAAAAAATTTCAGAGTTTCCTTCTATATAATGTGTATATTAATTATTTTGTAACAAACTTTTGCAGATTTTTAAAACTTTTAACTTTTAACTAAAAGATTTTTAAAACTTTTAACTTTAATTAATACGTGAGCAGTCAAGTTTGTTTTACTATGTTGACATGTCTACTATGTTGACATGTTTACTATGTTGACATGTCTACTATGTTGACATGTCTACTATGTTGACATGTCTACTATGTTGACATGTCTACTATGTTGACATGTCAACTATGTTGACATGTCTACTTTTCATAACTTAATTTGATATGAAAATTATGGAATTGATTTTATATTAATAATATTATTTAATCACCTTGACCCTCGTAAATTGGTCTGCTTGTCTCAGCTGGTATTCTTACTTCAAGGGGGGTCTTATCTAAAAAAACAGTTTTGTTAAATTTTTACTTAACTACTTAACAGGAAAGTTAGAGCTATTTTATACTTATTAGTATACCTTAATCTCAGCAATTGTAAAACTAAATAGATAGCTAAATGTGAAGGCTTAAATTTTTTATTATAGGAATTGTCTTCCATAGTCAATATTTTAATCTAAAACAAGTACAATTGCACAATTTTTATATTTTAATTTAACCAGGGCCTCTCTAACCATGGTTGGTTGTTTTGAATGAGAGGCCTTTCTGCAACGATACATGTATGCTAAATTTAAATAAAACAAAATAAAACAAAAACAATTTAGAACTAAAGGAAAAGGAGGACAAGGAAAAGTAGTAGATAGAGGAAAAAGTATTGAAGAATAAAGAGGAAAAGAAGAAGAAAGGATCATTGGGGGGGGGGGGGACAACCCAGCACACTAAGTTTATAATGTTTATGTTTTATTATGTTTTGTTATAATAACAGGGGAAAGGGGATAGAATCAAGATTTAACAATAAAATCAAATTCGATTTATACACTGAAAATTATTTTTTTTTTATTATAGAAGAAACAACTCATGATAAACATGATAATCATAATTTACATGTACATGGGTAAGGCGCATCACTCATTGTCTTCTGCCTCAAGTGCGTTCTGGTCTATGGGTTCGTAGCTCAAGATACCCTCGAGCTCCTCCAGGACTAGAACCCTCGAGTCCTGATCCCACTCTGAAGGGTTGTTGATCTGGAATACCTCTATCCAGGTATTCAAATGGTTCTCTAGGTAATAAGCGTTGTTTTCATCTTGGTAACATGGGTTTCTCCTTTCTTGTATTGCTTCACGTGCAGCATGGTGCCCCTCGTTCATATACAAATCGATAAGGTTCTCAACGTCTAGTCCCAATTGAGTAATAGCTACACAGGACATCCTCAGACTTTCCAACTTTGAGTCACTCCCTAAGCTGAGCACTCTAATTCCCTGAGAGAAGGATCCCACTGCTAGGTCAAGGTCGTCAAGGCTAACTCTAGCTCTCTTTGCGGCTGAGACTCCCATCTCCTCAATAACCCTATCAGCTGCAACGTCAATTTCGCCGTAAGCAGCCATTGCTCCTAGCACAATCTCAGCCCAGTGTTTGCGTAAAGCATTCCCCCTACCTGAAGGGATGTCAGAACGTATCCCTTCTAGCTCATTTCGGTGGACTACCTTCCTCTTGATCCCAGCAAGAATTGAATCAGACAACTCCTTCGTAGCCCAGCTGTGAGCTCTGGACAGATGTTTGATTATGCTGACAACAAAGTCACGATGTGTCCTGCTGGTCTTAGCAACATCACTGGCTACCCTATACAGCTTGGATACTGCTCGTTCTTCAACGAAGAAGCTTCCTTGCGAATCCAACCACTTCTTGTACATAGTAAGATTCGAGTGGCAGTTGACAACGGTCATGTATGGACTGGTCATTCTCCCATGGGACATCCTATACAGCCCGACAGCATGCCAGAACTCCAGATCGTCGATGTCGTTGAGTGCTCTGCATAGGAGTTTAGCGTCCTCAGGCTGCAGGGTGGGGCCACATATTGCCTCGGACATACCGTTGATATTCCTCGCCTTAAGCGTGTCGTTCGCAATAGACACCACCTTCTTCATACTGTTGCTAAAGGCAACGACTTCCGCATCATTGAGCAGCATATTTCCTCTTCTTATTGCTGCAACGTTATCATTCAAGGAGAGGAGTATCTCCCTGACCCTGGGTTGCAGTTTCACGACATGAGTAGTTAGCGTAAAGAGTAGGTCAAGCTTCATTCGTATATAGCATCTGTCTTCAGGGGGCACTCTGTCATACTTCTTCATTACGGATTCTGATACCTTGTCTCTTTCTACCCTTTGAGTTAAGGTGTCAATCTCTGGTCCTCTAGGCACTCTTCTGCTGCTAATCGGCAAGAGTCCTAGGGGAGGCAAGGTCACTGTGCACATTTGGGGCATCTCCGGTTCTGGCCCAGGAATACTGTCATCGGCGATTTCGCTGTCCCAGTCGTCGTCCCTCGCATCATACACGAGCCCAACCCTAGAACCCATTGTGCTAGCATACGACATAGCATCTTTAAAGGGATTTCCACGAAAGTCGCTGATTCTTTCCCTGAGTTTCGCAATTGCCGAGTTGAACAGTTCTTCATTGTCGATCGTAAAGATTGTATCCTCCAGCACTCTCAGAGATCCTTCGCGAATACCGTAACCGATTGATAGTTCTACCCGATTTGAGAGGGAAGCTTCGATGTATGTTAGAGCCTTAACCACCCCATGGAATGCTTGGACGTTCAATGATTTCCCACGCTTTTCGTAAACCTTGGTCATCAGATCCAAGTCTCCTGTCTGGCCACTAGTTCCTGGTGCATTCGGATACGCCACGACAGAGTGGCTCGTCTGTTGCGTCACTCGAGTCATTCTTTTGGTTGAGACGCTGGGGCTTATCTTCACCATGCATAACAGGGTGTCTTCATCAGGGAACAACCCATTCATTGCCAGCTCCGCCTCCCACAGTTGCTCTCCAGGGAGCCCCTTAGCGTTAAGACACACAGTCATTGCCCTGGCCATATGAATTGTCCTTGATTCAAGAGGTAAACTTCGGTATGCCGGGTTAGTCACGTCGAATATTCCCTTAGAGACTTTCGTAACATCCCTGCCTTTCCGAGACCTTCCCGTGTGCATATCGTTATAACTGAATCCTGGGCTGCTCCATGCTTGTCCTGTTGAGGCATCAGTCACGTCTGTTCCAGTAGATAAAGGAGGTTCATACCTCGCCACAACCATCACATGTTCATCATCCCTCGATCTGATAACCACCTCAACAGGGTCAGGTAGCGCGTAGTTAACCATGTTAACTCCTAGGTAGCTGTAATAATTGTCAAGTACAAACCGCGTCAGTTCACAGGGAGGCCGCGTCCTTGCAATTGAAAGTACCCTACGGACGCTACTGTCTGGATACTCCAATGTGCACCTGGATAGAATGGAAGTAACAGAAGTCTTGCTGTGCACTTTCGCATATCTTCTGCATCTAGCTAGCTGGATCGGGCTTAACAATTTCCTGCAGGACTCGCACTCCATCAGCTTAACAAGTAGCTTCATTTGGCTAGCGTAAGGTCTCATGGTCCCAACCGATTCTAGAACTGAAGGATCCCAGGTGCATGACATCACTATCTCCCACAGAGCCTCAGCAACCACTGTGTCAGAGTCCACCAATGCCGCGTTCACCATCTCCTGGCAGAAATCCCCACATCGGACCATGTTCCGAAGAATCCTCCTCAAGCTGCTGGTTGGGTCGTCAACTCCATGGAAGGCAGGAATCGTCGGGTTGGCCATGAAGCTGTACACGTTTGGGTTTCTGAATTGTGCTAAGTAAAATGCACCAATGACTGCTTTAATTTCTCCAAAGCACTCTGCCCCCTCGTCAACCTCTGCGAGTCCTTGGACGAACATGTTCACTGGTCTCATATGATCGGTTTTCTCCTTCGTAATGAAATCCACGAAGGCTGGGAATCCCCATCCGCCAAGATAGGACGGTGCGATGATCTGGGGTATTAGACTAATGATGTTGTTCTTAGCGATGTTGGGGTCCCATTGTAACGCTGTGCTGACTACGAGTCTTATGGCCATAACATACATAACCATTGGATCTGCTCCTTTCTCAATTGCTCCCCTGATGGAACCGGTAATGTCCTGGACTTGCCCTTGAAAGGTTGTGATCATCCTATCTGCTGCTGTGCAAACCTTCATCATCGTCCTTATTGGCTTAACCACTTCAGCACCTTTCGAGAAAAATCTATTAAGGAATGTGAAATTCAACGTGGATATGATGGTCTTGTCCTTAGCAATCACTAGCCCAACCTCAGCGTAAGCCTCCGTTATTGCGTCCTCAATCAGCAGGCACTTCTTTTCCTTCTCCTGCTTGGTAGACTTCTTGGAGAAAAAGAAGCAGAATAGTGCATCGTCAATCATCACTTTCCCTTTGTAACCTTCTCCGGCCGATAGTATACCCTTCTTTCGTAACTTGGCAGTGACGTAAAAGAGCAGGTGGCTATGCAATATACAGTCATACCTCCCCGTCCACCCCTGAACCATCCCCTCGTCTATCATCATGTCCACGTTCAGCCCGTCTCTTCTGCACACGAACCTCAAGGTATCCCACACTTTCTGGAAGGTGATTCCGTGATCTGCTTGAGTATACCCAATGAGTGTATCGTGATGTGTTAAGAAGAAGCTCCTCTTCGCTCCAGGACTCCACCCCTTTACATCGATGCTTATGAATAAGCATGACCCCACCTCTGACAACTTTGATAAGAACGTCCTGAAAGCTAAGTCCATGTCTGACTGGCTGGCCCCCATTGCGATGTTCCCCAAATGGTTAGTAAGTATAGGGTGACTCGAATCCATTTCACTCAACATCCTCCTGCTTGACTCGTTCAGAGAGAGAGTTTCTCTTGACGTTAGGGCATCTTTAGTGTTTTCTGCCTTGGTTGCCAGGTCCGCTATATTGTCTCTTTTGATCAAGCCCTTGGCAAACATTATCTTGTAGTCTAACATCTTTACTCCTGCACCACAGTCATCTCCATTGAACATGCTGTAAAGAAGCTCATTGGCTGAAACATTTCTCCTAAACATTGACGAACCTGGGTTCACATACTCCTCATATCTAGCAGGAACACGGGTGACGTCCTTCGCCTGGATGAATGCTTTGTCAGCAGTGTTCACGTAAGGGAAGTGTCGCTTCAACCTTGCTGCTCCCCAGAGGTTTTCGGGAGGGTTAAAAGGGCCGAACTTAATCGCCTGTTCGATAGCAACTCGCACTTCTGCTTCGCTCCCCTCGTTGCACTCGTGATTTGGGATTGAGTGCTCTTTAGAAGCGGTAGCTAGAAGGTCGAATATTTCGCAGAATCCTATGAAGTCTTTCTCTGCCTTAGGGTCCGTAGATCTCGGCTCAGTCATATTGTCCCTAGTGATCCGCAATGTAGTAACTATGTCTCTGTCCGGTGTAGGTAAGTAGTGAAACAGGTAACATAAGTCGAGTACTATACCATCGTATGTACCAAGGTCTTTAAAAAGATCTATCAGGCCATGTGCATCCTTGCAAACTTCTTCCAGTCCCTCAAGCAGCTTTGTCCTCCTCCGGTCCTCCCCAGTGTCCATGCCTGAGGGGATGTCGTGCATGTGGTAATCATTCTCCAAGATAGCTAGGACCTGCTTCATGGATTTCGGTAACTTCGAGTCTTCGGCAGGGTATGCATCTCTCAGACGGGCGCCCATATACCTCTCCACTTTATCCACGGCTTTACTTATGTCTAGAGGTCTATCTTCATTAATTCCCCTAGTCCGGTACACCTTCATAAACGTGCGAACATTGGCTATCGACTTTAGCCTCTCTATTAGATTTATGACGTGATCTCTGCCAAGGAGATAACCGTAGATGTACTGCCTTGTGCATACAACGATGTACAACTTAGAGCAAAATTTCCAGCACCTTATGGACTTGTCCGAATTCGTTCTGCCAGGCAAGTATCCTAGGTCAGGCAAGGAATGGTCGTCAATCTCCACTCCTGCGAAATCAGTAATTCCAGCTTGATCCATATCTGCCAGTAGATGCCCAAATCGACCGTCCTTAGTGGCTTTGAACCAATACTCAATCAGCATGTAAGCTAGGATAGCACGCTCTGCTCCTGGTGTGAGGTCAGCTAGGGATGAATTAGTCGCTTTAGCCCTAAGGGTCCAGTTTCGAGAGACACAGTTAGATACTCCAGTCAACTGGGGAAAGTTATCCACTATTCCATGAGTGATGTTGTGGTTAGGTATGCAGCCTAATTTAAAGTTCAGTTCATCTAATATTACGTGGGAGATAAAATGACCCATAGCTGCGCTCCCCGTAGTCCAATTCGAGGCTAGAGACATGATGAGATGATTCAGCTTCAGCTTCCTGATCAGCACATTCAGGTCACCGGTGTCAGCATTCCTACACAGAGAGGCAAATAGCTTCCTGTCTCTCAAGAACCTAGGATGCATATCATCAGGGTCGTCATAATCTTCATTCAACTCCCGGTTTGCAGCAGCAGCCCTAGCAGCTTCCGACTCCTCGCCCCAATCGGGAAATAGGCTCCTGCACGGGTTGCTCTCTTTTACCCATTCTCTAGTAGCTTCATCTCCTCTCAAGGCAACAATCTGTGATGTGGCTATTAGATCCAGCTGCGTGTCGCCAAGATAACACGGCTTCTTGTCCACTCTGGCCATCTCAGAACTATTTAGGTTAACGTGGTATATCTGTCCAGACGGCCTCCTGAGTCATGTGAGCAAGATCTAGAGAAATGACGCTCAGTGTACAAATACCACAGTAAAGAAGTAGCCCTGGCGCAGGTATCAGCTACCCTGCTCTTGATGTGTCTGCTCCACGGGCCCCGAGCACTCACGGACTGACACAGACTGTCCCTGAGCACGTATCTTTGGGGGTCCCAGAACTGTCGAGCAGAGGTCTCCTTCAAGGCTCCGCAGTGCCTTGATCTCGGCAGTAAGGGTTCCTACCCGCTTACTAGTTGTGTGCCCTCAAGGGAGGTGCTTCAGTAACAAACTTTCTCTTTTAGAAGTGACCAAGCAAATATAAGCTTGGGAGTTTTAGCTGGCTGGCATAAATGAGATCTCGATTGATTTATCGATCCTTCTTTGGTTATTTACTGGAGGGATGCATCAATCTCAAGACCCTATCAAAGCCGGGTTTGGGAGATGGTCAGATATTCACGAATTGCCATTGCAACTTAACGCCTATCTTCAGAGCAAGGGAAATGCAGTTTGGTGCATAGGATTGATTTGCTACTTGTGCATATTGATAACCTGGTTCCCCACCCCAGGAATTGCTGCCCTTGTAAGCAACAAGGACCCTGAGAAGTTTTTGGTTTGGTTCAATCAGTTTATCCTCTGTATCTTAAAAAATTCTTCAATCAACACAGGAAAAGGAATGTGGATACAGAGGGACAGTAACCCTACAGAATTGATTCAAATGATTTGTTACAAAGGATGTGATGATCCTGTTTTTTCAGCAGACCAACTTGCAAGCATGGTTCCTAGCTGGAGAAATGTAACAGGTGGAGGTTGTATAACAGATATCCAGGCCATTCACCACATTTGCCAGTTCATCAGTCCGCTGCTCTCAGATAGTTCCATACCAGCTCATATAAGATGGATTGATTCTTCATCTGCATTTGTTTCAATGTATATGCATTCTAATATTGAAAACAAACTCCATGCAGGTATGTTCAGTTGCCAGGGAGTAAACAGTTTTACAAATTCAATCAAATCTGTAAGATCAGTATTCAACTTGAAGAAGATCAAGTATTTGGACACAAAACTATCTGAAGCTCTGAAACTCATTGCAAAAAAGCACACTGAAAATGATTCTTTAATCAAACAATTCACACATTCTCAGCTTCTAATTCTATACATGTGGAATTTTCCTTATCATATAATGGATCTCTATACTCACAACGATAAAAATAAGTTTTTATCTGTTTATGATCTTGAAACTATTCGTCCTGTCCTTTCTGCATTCATTGGCAAAATTGTCACTGATACGCCAGAGTTAGCTGAGCTCAGAAAGAAAAGGCATGAAGCTAAGGCCACACATAGGTATAGCACTTATGTTACACTTTCTCAAGATCAGAATCCTGGAATAAAGCACAAGGCTGCTGACCAGTGCAAGAAGATACAGAAAAGTCAGAAAACATCTGAGATTAAGATGTTGGAAAGGGTTACATCCATGTTGAAGGACAAGTTAGAAAAGATGAGAGAAGGAGAAGTTGAAGTTGTTGCCCCTTTTTGCTCTGTTTGTAAATAGTGAACTGCACTGTTTACAATCCTACTAAACCTAACTCCGCGCAGTCAGTTAGATCCTATACCATTTACCACAGTGATCCTAGAATTCTGGACACGGTTACACTTGCAAGACAAATAAACATATACTAATATAAAACTGTTCACTCCCACGCGAGAAATCTTGCGCCTGCGTAGTCAGTCTGTAAACAGCTTCCAAAACTAGTTTTTCACAATACGTTCTGTACAGATCCGCAGGGAGAACTCAGAAACTCACAGGGGCATCAACTAGACTTTATACACGGAGCATGGCTCGCGTAACAATATTCTTCAAGAAATTTTTTTAAAACTTGTTTTATAACTTGTTATGGTGCCTAAAGGTTTTATTTCCAATGGAATAGAGTTCCAGATCCTTGGAAGATAGACCATAGGAAAATTCTAAAATTAGCTGGTACTCAATGTAATCTGCTTACATTTTAGTTTTGATTTTCGAATTTTGAATTAACTTCCTCTGAATGAAACCCCTGTCAAATACACTCTGTCACAATTTAAAACAAAAGAATACTAATTGCCTATTATGCTTTTGTACTTCACATTAACAATCATGATGACGTAAAACCAGTCATTATTTAAAATAAATTTATAGAATTTCAAAAGTATTTCTAAACATAAACTTTTAAGCCGGAAAATGTAAAATTGTATAATTGTAAGTATAAGCAAAATCAACCAAGCCAAAAAAAAAATAATTAAAATTATTTCATGCATTTGCGCCGTATTTGTTTAGATATATCAAACTTTGGCCTCCGAAATGGGATTTCTAGGATTAGGATTAGAGAATTAGCTTCTGAGGAAATTAGTCAGTTACAGTTGATTGATTGATTGATTGATTTCTAACAATATTTTACCTATCTCTGCTGTTCTGAATGTGAACACAGTTGAGTAGGGTGACCATCCATACTTGTTCTGGGACCGTACAATCACATCGTAAAATGTATTGTTCTGTAGACCCTGAAATTGAATGAATTTGATCATTATCAACACTATATTTCCACCCACCAAAAGCAAACTTTCTCGTCAATATCTCTGATCTAAAAAGGCTTCCTTGTTTACATACAATATATACTACATGATGTACAGTGGTCCACATTCTTATATAAGGAAGAACAAATTCCATTCTAAGGTTGGGGAAAGCAGTAAATAAAAAAAAGGCTCAAGCATGAAAATCTTAAGTTGTCCAAAAACTAAAATTCGCAAAAAATACTCTCCTGGCCATATTTGGTATTTCTTTTATTAAAGGATTTGAGTCTTTGGAACAAAATCATATATTTAAACCTCAATATCTTTAGAACTCAATGTTGTAAACCTTTGATATTTCAAACTCTGATTATTTGATCTAATAGAATTCATAGTTTGAAATATCTAAGGTCTGCAACATTTGGTTCCAAAGAAATAGTGATTAGAAAATCAGAGTTTGTGTCAAAGAGTCAATTCCTTTGTCTCCATGATACTTATAGTTGTGCGATGGTTAATTAGAATCATTTATCTAATAAGGAAGGAAAAGGATAAGTTCCTCAAAATACAAAAAGAAATGATATGAATCCTATCATAGAATAAATAATCCTTTAAACATAATATTAGAAACAAAAATTAAATATTTTGCCAATTTTCTTTTTTCCTTCTTTCTCTCTTTTTTCGTTTCCTTCTTTTAATTTTTCTTTTTCTTCTTTTTTTGTCTCAGAAATTGTGCCCCTCCTGTGCCCTCTTTCCAGAGGTTAAAGGGGGGGGCACATGCCCCTGTGCACCCCCTAGCTACGGGCCTGCCTCCCTCTAGTTTGTTTGCCCTAGCACTCTCATTTTTGGCACTATCACTGTGAAATTTCTTGACTTTTAATGAATAGAAATTTTATGGATTTTTTTGTATCTTTTTTGTTAATGCATAGATTAGGATTGGGAACAGAATGGTAAAAAGTCAAGTCCGAGTAAAAAATAATTAAACAATAATTCAGACGCCCCAGCTTGTATAGGGTTAAGGTAAATGCGGACATGGTGTTTAGAACAATATTGTTGCTTTGATTAGGATTGAACACTTAACAATTATCGATGATTATTGGTTGTAATATCTGAATAATTTGTTTGGAATTAAATTGAATTTATACGATCCGAGCTTAATGTTGCAACTTTCTGAATTTGTATGGACGCTTCGTTCTTCAGCATGAGTTTTTTTTAACAATTAACAGATAGAAGTAAGATTAGAAGCAATCAAAAGCGCTTATTTTTCGCCGTAAGCCTATACCCCCTTTCATTTTTCGCGAACACTCCCTTTAAGGAGCATTAAAATAAATTTCTTGTCTTTTAGTTTTTTAGTTCCGCATTTCCGGTCTTTAGTTAAACATATCCGGTCCACATAGCAATGCAGATATAGGATTTTACACAAATATAAACAACTTAATTCAAACTAAAGATTAGATTGGTCAGCAAGTTGTCAGTACAGAATAGGTGTTACTTGATAATATGGTAGATTACACTATTATCTTTATCCATCTATTACAGAGGTGGGACTTAGGTTTAGAATCGATAAACGATAGTTGTTCGTTTCGATATTGATGTTTTATTTCAAAAAATAAAAAATAAAATTTAAAAATAAATTCTTTTCCGAATGTGTCGTTTTTGATTGTGTACCATAAGAATTGACTGAGATATTAAGAAATATGTCTAAAATTGCAAACCTATCTATCCTGTCTATATATATTCTATTTTATATTCATGGTTGATACCATCAGGTTGCAGAAATTATGGGATTAGAATGTTTTGAGTGCTGGTAAAAACTCAGTTTCTTTATTCCCAGTATTTACTACTAATAATATTCCCAGTATTTACTACTAATAATATTCCCAGTATTTACTAATAATAATATTCCCGGTATTTAATAATATTCCCAGTATTTACTACTAATAATATTCCCAGTATTTACTACTAATAATATTCCCAGTATTTACTACTAATAATATTCCCGGTATTTATTCCCGGTATTTACTATTAATAATATTCCCAGTATTTACTACTAATAATATTCCCAGTATTTACTACTAATAATAACCAATTGTAAAATCTAATTTCGATTTTTAAATATTTTAAATGAAAAACCTATTGTTTGCATTTTCTAACATTTAGAACTAATTGCAATGTCTTCCAGACTTAATTAGAATTACAATGAAAAGAATTATTCTAAAATTTTAAAAATAAAAATTAGCATGAAAAAAGCGACCATCACAGTGCATATCTGGGTTAACGATAGAAAAAAACGAAACCGACAGGCACCATATTATTAGTTGTTCTTTTTGATTAAGAACTGAGGGGGGGGGGGGGTTAAGAGTCTAGAATTTCTTTAATACAAGTAAATTATTCAGACTGAATACATTCCGCACAGTCGTCTCTGAAGTCTAATCCTTTGTGAATAACCATGTAGTATTGTAACTGCAAAGGAAGTTATTAAACTAAATTATTTTCAAGTTAAAGTATTCATTAAATGTCAAAGCGAAGTTAAACACTAATTACAGAGTGTACTGCAATAAACATAAATACAAGTTATTTAAACAAAAACATAAACAATATATAGAGCATTTTGCAATAATTAGCACAACTTATTCATAATGATTCGGTGAAACATCAAAAACTAAAAGCTTGCTGACACTTTTTTCTTAACAAGCACCTTAAAGGGACCGTTCACTTATTTGGGTATTTTCATGGTAAACTAAACAGCTAATAAGCAATTTAGTTTACCCCGTTAAATTACCCAAATAAGTGAAGGGTCCCTTTAAAAGGACTGTTCGCAAAAATAAAATGAATAAAATATCGTCCAAAATTTATTCGACAAATACTATTTTTTTCTGTTTTTTCTATTAAGGTACTGCAAACGTTATTTTAAATGGACCTTCCTAATGAGAAGGGAATGTCCGATTCACAAAGGTACCCTTTAAACCATTGGTATTGTTTTCTATGTTTAAAAGCATTAAATTTTCTAAAATTTACGCGTATAGTCCCTTTTAGGAATAAAATAAAATAAAACCGCTCCATCAGGGCTTTTTTACGCGTATAGTCCCTTTTAGGAATAAAATAAAATAAAACCGCTCCATCAGGGCTTTTTTACGCGTATAGTCCCTTTTAGGAATAAAATAAAATAAAACCGCTCCATCAGGGCTTTTTTGCTTTGATTAATTTTATTGTTCGTTCTTATCTTTTGTACGGAAACCAATTGTCCAACAGTTTTTTTTTATTAATTTATAATAATTCTTGTCAGCCATTGGAAAAAATACATTGTCAGAAAAAACACAATATCTTAGTTTCATTTTCTATTTTCTTTTTTTTTGTTAATGTTAGCTTGAAGAGAATTAAGAGAATATAATTAATTACGCCAAAATTTTAATTTCATTATTTAGATATGACGTCACAGAAAATGATATTACAAAACTTAGATATAAAGTGAGTCTAGCTTTAAAGTGTCGTTTTTCTGTCTTAAAATGTAAAAGAACTTCCTTAATAATTACATCCGCGAGTAGCTTTAACAGAAAACCGCAATTAAGAATGATCAATTTCAGATAGAAAAACAAGGATATAATTTTTGCTTAGCCAAAAGTTCAAAGGGTACCATGGTGAATCTGATTGTCTGGTATAAAGGCAGGAGGGTACCATGGTGAATCTGATTATCTGGTATAAAGGAAAATAAGTCCCAACAATTTTAAATAAAGTACTTTATTTAAAGGGACATGAGACTTGAGGAAATTATAATTTTTTACAAAGATTTTATTTCCAGGTTTTTATTTCAGAAAAAAATTTCGTAAAACTAGATTTTTCTTAATTTTTCATTGCGTTTGTGATGAATTTTATATTTTATTTGTTGTCATATAGTATTTGGCGGATAGATGTCTCCCTAAGTAATAAGCATAACAAAATACAACCTTATGACCCCCCTTGTCGTCGTTGTCTAGTCTGTTCCACTTTAGTATTTAATCAATAAATAATAAATTATTACCTTCATGTTGTAAGTGTACCCTCCTTCTGAAAGTGCAGCGAATACACGTCTATAATGTGCACTCTTGGGGGGTACTGGTGTACTACTCTGAACCTATAATAGTACATAGTACACATTATTCTCTCTAGAAAGGGATAATTTGCATTTCGTGTATTGTTTTATTTGATTGCGTTGGCTGCCAATGAGTTGGTATGGCACTTCAAATGAACTGAAGTTTGCAGTACGTCTTTCTAAGGGATAAACAGAAAAGAAAAACCACAGTCAAGGCCAAGAACTGTACATTGTACAGTGGTTTTATGTTAATTTATCTATGTAAAAGATTGAATTTAAACCTATTATGAGGATCTCTGAAATGTGTGACTGTTGGTATCCAGTCCAATTGTTGCATGTTCCAAACTACAACTACAAATAATACTACTTACCCCCCTTAGAGCATAGATTTACGTTATCAGCTTGCAGTAGACAGTCATCCTCTCATGAACCAGTCTACTGTAGACTGGTTCATGAGAGGTTATTGAGTAGGAGGATAACACTTCAAATCATAGCTGTACCTTATCTGCCTCACAGTAGACCAGTTCATGAGAGGTTATTGAATAGGAGCATAACACTTCAAATCATAGCTGTACCTTATCTGCTTCCCAGTAGACCAGTTCATGAGAGGATATTAAATAGGAGGATAACACTTCCCACTTCAAATCATAGCTGTACCTCTCCAAGCCCTCGCGATCACCAACTATTAAGGGATAGGCAGGTTTACCTGTAATAAGTAAAATTGCAAATGTCTCAAGTATCTAAGCAATGCATAGAGTTGGGAATTATTAACTTAAAACTGATCTTATAAATGGTTGATATTTGCTTTGTTATACCATTATTAAACCGCAAAATTTAAATGTTATTAAATTCAAACTTAGAAGGAGTCATTGGAAGCTTTAATGGATAGAGATGTAGGTATAGTATAAAGCAAGTTGAAAGAAGAAAGTGCCAAGTGGTCAGGAGAAAATTAAAAGTTATGGGATGGATGAGAGGTAGATATTTTCTTAATCACCTAATATTCTTCAAGCGCAAAAAAGAAAAATCTATAATATTTTAACTTTTTTTTAGACTCATGGGGGTTTTAAAGCGAATTTAGATTTAAAGAAAAGACACACATGTATTGTTAAAACAAAAATGAATAATTACGAAACTGGTTAATTAAAATGTTTGTCTTTAAAAGTTGAAAGAGTAAACATTGTTTGATATTTAACATGTTGTTAAAACTGCAAAATGAATTTTATTAAATCTACACTTTTTTTTGTCTGGAAAAAAATTAGGAATTATGATTCTCTGTTTGTTTGTCTGTCTTTCCGTTTGTATCCTTAAACATCAAAACGGCTGAAACGATCAGACCCAAACTTTTTGTGGGACTTAGGGTGACTACAGGGAAAGTGCCAAATAAGCCTAGTATTGATATTTTTGAAGAACCAAGGTTTCCTATAATAATCTGAGCTGAAAACTTTAGAATGTGATATCCTTAATCCCAATCTGTTAATTAATCTGGAGATTAAATTCTTGAGGAGAACAAGCCATATTTAATCTGGAGATTAAGAAAAAGAGTGGATTGAGCATTAATCCCGATATCCACCATTCTAAAGTTTCCAGCTCTGGCTATTTAGTGAAACAGTTATTTTAACATTTCTATTCCTGCAATTTCTCCTTTTTAGGAAAAATTAATTTTAATATTTCAAAATCTGCAATTTGTCCTTGAGGCAGTTTTTGATCCATCAATACCTGTCTTTCTTCAAAGAGTATCAGAAAAAGGAAAATCTTATTAAAAAATCTCTGTGCAAACTTACAAGTCATAAATATATTAGCTTTTATCAAAGGAAACTGAGATGTGAAAAATGTAAAGATTTGAATTATATATAACCTGTCAGTGTAAAGATGTCAGTAAATATAACCTGTAATTTTAAATTTGAGTGACATATAACCTTTAATTTTAAATTTGAGTGACATATAACCTGTAATTTTAAATTTGAGTGACATATAACCTGTAATTTTAAATTTGAGTGACATAACTTGTAAGTGTAAGTGTAAAGATTTGAGTGATATGTAGCCTGTAAGTATAAAGATTTCAGTGAAATTTAACCTGTAAGTGTAAAAATTTGAGTGATATATAACCGGTAAGTGCAAAAATTTTAGTGAAATATAGCCTGTAAAAGTAAAGACTTGAGTGATACATAACCTGTAAGTGTAAAGATTTGAGTGACATATAACCTGAAATTGTAAAGATTTTAGTGTTACATAGCCTGTAAGTGTAAATATTTGAGTAATATATAAACTGTAAGTGTAAAGATTTGAGTGATATATAACCTGTAAATGTAAAGATTTGAGTGATATATAACCTGAAATTGTAAAGATTTTAGAGTTATATAACCTGTAAATGGAAAGATTTGAGTGATATATAGCCTGTAAGTGTATAACATTGAGTGATATATAACCTGTAAATGTAAAGATTTTAGTGTTATATAGCCTGTAAGTGTAAATATTTGAGTGCTATATAAACTATAAGTGTAAAGATTTGTAAGGATTTGAATGGAATAAAACCTGTGTAAAGTAAAAGTGTAAAGATTTCAGTGAAAAATAACCTGTAATTGTAAAGATTTGAGTGATATACAACCTGTAATTTTAAATTTGAGTGACATATAACCTGTAATTTTAAATTTGAGTAACATATAACCTGTAAGTGTAAAGATTTGATTGATATATAGCCTGTTAGTGTAAATATTTCAGTGATATACAACCTGTAAATGTAAAGACTTGAGTGATATATAGCCTGTAAGTGCAAAGATTTAAGTGATATATAACCTGTAAATGTAAAGATTTGAGTGATATATAACCTGTAATGTAAAGATTTGAGTGATATAAAGCCTATAAGTGTAAATAATTGAGTGCTACATAACCTGTAAGTGTAAAGATATAAGTGATATATAACCTGTAAATGTAAAGATTTGAGTGACATATAACCATGTAAGTGTAAAGATTTAAGTGATATATACCCTGTAAATGTAAAGATTTGAGTGATATATAACCAGTAAATGTAAAGATTTGAGTGATATATAACCTTGTAAGTGTAAAGATTTGAGTGATATAAAGCCTTTAAGTGTAAATATTTGAGTAATATATAACCTGTAAGTGTATATAATAGAGTAATATATAACCTGTAAGTGTATATAATTGAGTAATATATAACCTGTAAGTGTATATAATTGAGTAATATATAACCTGTAAGTGTAAAGATTTGAGTGATATTTAACCTGTAAATGTAAAGATTTGAGTGATATATAGCCTGTGAGTGTAAATAATTGAGTGATTATATAAACTGTAAATGCAAAAAATTAAGTGAACTGTAAGTGTAAAGATATAAGTGATATATAACCTGTAAATGTAAAGATTTGAGTGATATATAACCAGTAAATGTAAAGATTTGAGTGACATATAACCTTGTAAGTGTAAAGATTTGAGTGATATATAACCTGTAAATGTAAAGATTTCAGTGAAACATAATCTGTAAGTGCAAAGATTTGAGTGATATATAACTTGTTAGTGTAAAGATTGAATAATATATAACCTGTGATTGTAAAGATTTTAATGATATATAAACTGTAAATGTAAAGATTTGAGTGATATATAATCTGTAATTTAAAGAATTGAGTGATATATAACCTGTAAGTGTAAAGATTTGAGTGACATCTTCCTCCAGCATATTTCCAGCTTTACACATATATTCACCATAGTCCTTCTCCTCTACTGAACTCAGAAGGAATCTAAAAATTGAATAAATTTATGTTATTTTATCTATAAGAATTAAAATTGCACATTTTTAAGATCAGTTATTCTAATTAATATGTATATTTTAAAACCTGTAAGTAATACCTACATTTACAGTATTGATACCTGTAATTATCAACGACAGTTCTAATATGTATAACTGTAAGTATCACCGACAGTTCTAATATGTATAACTGTAAGTATCAACGACAGTTCTAATATTTAACCTGTAAGAAATGAGAAATATGTTAACAATGTTAACAAAAGGGTCCTTAACGAAACGACAAACTTTTTAAAAACCATAGTTTTTGAAAAAAACTATAGTTTCTGAAAAAAAAATTACATGTCGTCTTACATGAAGGTCAACAGTTGTGGGGGAGCTGAAACTTCTTAATATTTTCGTTAAAACTGCTCAATGATATGTACCAATGCCCTTTAGCGCAGTTTCCTCTCTCCTCCTCTCTTCCTTCACAATCGTTAACGAAGGATCGTTGTTAACAATTGTTAACAAAGAGTCGTTGTTAACGATTGTTAACAAATGGTCGTCGTTAACAATCGTTAACAAAGGGATCCTTAACAAAACGACGAGCTTTACAAAAACGATCATTTTGAAAACGATCATATTATAAAACGATCGTTATGTTTTCGTTTTTTTGTCATAAGTATCACAACAGTTCTAATATCTATACCTGTAAAGTATCACAACAGTTCTAATATCTATACCTGTAAGTATCACAACAGTTCTAATATCTATACCTGTAAGTATCACAACAGTTCTAATATCTATACCTGTAAGTATCACAACAGTTCTAATATCTATACCTGTAAGTATCACCGACAGTTTTAACTCTAATTTTTTCTCCATCTAAGAGTTTCATAGTTTGTTTATACCAGGAAACCTAAATTATAAAAACACGTTAGGAAAAGATCATATTTTATTTTAACAACTTATTTTATGTTTTTATTTTTGCCAGACATTTACATGATATTCTTAAACTAATGGTTGTACAAGGCTAACAACATTTTTTTTCTAAATTGTAATTTAAACAGATATGTTTACCTTAGCTGGTGGATTTGAGTAGACTATACAGATAAAAGTTATATCCTCCCCAACCCCAGCATGTATCCAACTACGCTCTGCAGATACCTCAGGAGAATCTAGATACAGAAATATGTTATATCCTCCCCAACCCCAGCATGTATCCAACTACGCTCTGCAGATACCTCAGGAGGATCTAGATACAGAAATATGTTATATCCTCCCCAACCCCAGCATGTATCCAACTACGCTATGCAGATACCTCAGGAGAATCTAGATACAGATATATGTTATATCCTCCCCAACCCCAGCATGTATCCAACTATGCTCTGCAGATACCTCAGGAGGATCTAGATACAGATATATGTTATATCCTCCCCAACCCCAGCATGTATCCAACTACGCTATGCAGATACCTCAGGAGGATCTAGATACAGATATATGTTATATTCTTCCCAACCCCAGCATGTATCCAACTACGCTCTTATTTCTTATTTTAAGAAACTGAGGTTTTTCGATAAATTCAGGTTTTTTATCTTAATCTTTGCAAACCGTTGATTATTTTGGTTTAAATGTTTAAATTTCTATTTTTAAAATTTAAATTCAGTTCCTTTGTGAATTAATTTTAATTGTTACTTACACAGGACATTTATGTTTATGCTTTGCCAGGCAGGTTGGAGAGATACTCCATTATCAGCGTTACAGGTATATTCTCCATGCATCTCACGAGATATATTTAATAGTTCTAATATATCTCCTGAAATATATAAATATATATTCTCCATGCATCTCTCAAAATATATTTAATAGTTCTAATATATCTCCTAAAAAATTATATCTTTGAGCTGGTCCTGTTAGAAATTATATTTTTGAGCTGATCCTGTTAGAAATTATATCTTTGAGCTGATCCTGTTAGAAATTATATCTTTGAGCTGATCCTGTTAGAAATTATATCTTTGAGCTGATCCTGTTAGAAATTATTTTCCCGTTCTCTTTTGCAACATTTGATGGTTTAAATAAAACTGACGGCATCCGGTTGCAAAGATTTTAGAATTTTATATTCAGTAGGAAGAAGTAATCAGTTCTTTTGCTTCATTAAACAAGATTTTTTATAGTCATCTCTCTTAAAACGTTCTTGTTACACAACTAAATAAGTGCTTCCAATTGAAGTTTTATAACTCTAATATCCTTTCAATCTCAGACCTTTCAAACTTTGATTTTGCGAAATCAAATAATCAAAGTTAGGATTATTAAAAATAATACGATATAGGGATGAAAACAAGATTTTTCGGCGAGAAATCCGTTCAATTTTATCCATTTACCACATCCCTCTAGTTGCGCCATAGATATAAATTTTTCTGTTGAATTATATTGTAACACAAGAGTTTTTAGTTTTCGTAAATTACCTTTTCTGACTGTAATTGACCCATTACTAGGATTCACACTTTCAATATAGGGTGGTACCTCAACAATTAGCTAGAAATATTAGAAATATTAGGCCCCCTTCCCGGCCTAAGTAAAGTAAAAAGAGAGCGAAGGTGTTCATCCCAATTTGAAAATTGTTGTATGGTGTAAGAACAACGATTTATCAAAGCAGAAACTTGAAAATTATGGTTATGATGCTCGAATATTGGATTAAGCACGAAATTTTGGAAATTGTTCAGAATTTAAGTAAAATATGTTTAAGATTATATAACAGGGATTAAGTGAAAATAGGTTGAAATTTGAATATTTCATAATTCGGGATTATATGAATTTATATTTAAAACATATCTTTGGAACAAATTATGATTTACTATCTTCTCATTCCTAAAATTTTCAATTTACACTATTTTTCAGAAAATTATAAATATTTTGTAACCCAATTATTTTCTTCTAAAATTAGTATAATTACGTTAATTTTTTTTAATATAACTTAATCCATGATATAGCTTTATTTATCCTGGGAAAATGCATTAAAAATAATTTTATTACTAATCAGTATTTTTACAGGAGTTTACCTTTTCAAGAAATTATTTTTGAATTTTCTTAATGAATATTTATTTTCTCAAATTGAGCAAATAAAAAACCTAAATTAATTTAACACTCCAGACAAACATAAACATTTCAAGATAGTGGGGGGGGGGGACGCTTTTTCAGAGAAAATATATAACCCTTTTTAATAAGTACAGTTATTGTTTCTAGATATGAATACATAATGAATAACAAATGTATTAGAGATGAACAAGATGAGTAGGTATTCTCTGGTTCCAGAATCCGACACTACTGAATTGTGGATTTTATAATGCTATTATGAGGATTTTATTCCTCTACATATTTTTTTTAATGTTACCTTCTATACGGGTAGTACTTCCTTTCCAGTTCATGGGCTGGTTGTGCTAAAATATTTTTTTAAATATTAAATTTTTTGTTAAAATATTCATCTTGAAAAAAATGATTGTTCACTTTATTAAAGAATGATTACAAAAAACTGGGTATTATGTCATCATATAAAAAAGGTGAAAAATATCTAAAATTATGATTTAAGTAAAAAAAATATTCTAAAAACTTCCCATTTTTGACAAAGAAAATTAATTTCCATGAGAGCGAGACCAAAAAACTTAAACACCAATTCAAAAAGTCTTATAATTTTCATTGTATTGATTTCCTTAATCATAGAATTTTTCCGATACTAAAGTGACAGTGACCGATAAACATACTGTTTAAAGCTGAATAAATCTGATAAAGTTTTTCTAAAAATGAAAAGTTTCAATTGTGGTTAAAAGTGACTTGTTGATTTATATGATAGAGCAAAATAATGCAATGCAACAATTCAACACATGTACAGATGGAAGATACAGATTTAAATGGCACCTTTGCTATTCGGGCAACTAAATACACATTTATTCTAACACAGATTACAAAAATGTCTCCAAAAGAGTGATGATTTCTCCTACCAGGGTATTGTATGCAACCCTTATATCATATACGTTAGAACAGGAGCCGTTGTAAGAGAGCAAAGTCTTGAAAGCAACCCAAGATATTTTACCTGTCTATTCCAGTAAACTCTTGGTGTAGGCTGACCCCCAGCATGACATTCGAGTCGTACATTCGAACCTAAGAGAATTCATAAAATCATATTTTAAGATAAAAAACCACAACACAGGGGGGGGGGGAATTATACAATGATATTGCCTAATCAGCACATTTAACCCGCTCCCTAAAACCTCATATTTCATTGATTACTCTCACAATCAAATGATCCCCATATCTTTGAGCTGATCCTGTTAGAAATTATATCTTTGAGCTGGTCCTGTTAGAAATTATATCTTTGAGCTGATCCTGTTAGAAATTATATCTTTGAGCTGGTCCTGTTAGAAATTATATCTTTGAGCTGATCCTGTTAGAAATTATATCTTTGAGCTGNAATATTTTCCAATATTTAGAAATATTAAAAATTTTGGAAATATTAAATATATTAGAAATTTAAAAAATATTGGAAATATCAAAAATATGAAAAATATTATTACAATTCTATAAAAACAATAAAATGTTAGAAATATTAGAAGAAAAAACAGAAAAAAATTTTAGATATAGAAATACATAAAAATATATATATTTATTTCAAAATTTAATAAAATTGAAACCTACCGTATGTGTAACGTCTATTGCTTTCTTGTTTACATTGACAGTACACTTGTATGTGCCTGTATCCCCCCTGGTCAGCCCAGTCAGCTGGAGGTCAACTCCTATCCCGGGCATATACACCACATCTATACGGTCATCCTGAACGTTCAAAGGGCACGTTTATGTTTGTATTAATAACCTTCTCCATTAATTATTGCCTGGAAGCCATAATTTTGCACAATTTTCCGCTTGTTATTGTAAAGAATTACAAATGGAAGGCATCTAACACCCTGGGACCAAGTAAAATTAGTTCTCAGATATAAGTGTCTTAAAAATTTGTTCTGAAACTCATTTTATAGAACTCAGCACACGCCATAAATTCTTAATTTTGTACCCCTGTGTCTTTGCAGCCTCTGATGGTGTAGAAATTTGTTATTTCAAATCATGACTAAGTTGGATAAATTAGGCTAAGTTTAAATTTTGAGGGTCTACAATCTACCTATATGCACCATTAGGTTGCAAATATACAGGAAGTTGAACATTCGAGTTTGTGGCACTGTTCCTTTAATACCAACTATGGAGATTTCATTTTTTTTTTTTAAGAATTTTTAAAAATTATTTTTAAAATTTATTCATTTACCTGCCGAACTTTGAAACCGTCTGCACTGATGACCAAACCATCCTTACTCCAAGTCACCACTGAGTCATCTAAACACAATTATATGATTCACACTGTAGCGTCTGATCCAATCATCTCATCTCATTATCCAATTAGAGATGAATCCTGAAATCAGTGCTATAGTAAACCCAAATGTCTACTCCAGTCACTGTGTAGAGTGGACTAAGTTTAATTTGAATTCGAACTGACCTGACCCCTTGTACTGGTCTTAGTAACATACTGCAGGTACCGGCCCGACCCCTTGTACCGGTCTTAGTAACATACTGCAAGCACCGGCCAGACTAATTGTACTGGTCTTAGAAACATACTGCAAGACCGGCCGGACCCCTTGTACTGGTCTTAGAAACATACTGCAGGTACCGGCCTGACCCCTTGTACCGGTCTTAGTAACATACTGCAGGTACCAGTCCAACCCCTTGTACCGGTCTTAGTAACATACTGCAGGTACCGGTCCGACCCCTTGTACCAGTCTTAGTAACATACTGCAGGTACCTGTCTGACCCCTTGTACCGGTCTTAGAAACGTGCATGCAAGTACCGGTCCGACCCCTTGTACCGGTCTTAGTAACATACTGCAGGTACCGGTCCGACCCCTTGTACCGGTCTTAGTAACATACTGCAGGTACCTGTCTGACCCCTTGTACCGGTCTTAGAAACGTGCATGCAAGTACCGGTCCGACCCCTTGTACTAGTCTTAGTAACATACGGCAAGTACTGGCCCGAACCCTTGTACTGGTCTTAGTAACGTACGGTACCAGCCCAACCTTATCCTATGCCGGCTTGGTTTCAACTTTGACTTTTTATAGTAATCGGCCTATATGACCTATCCCACTAGCTTAGTTTATTGTTCAATCAATATAAACATTTTTTAAAAAGAAATCTTGATTTGAATACTCAGAAATCTCAATTGAATGCTGTGTAAAAAGTCGTAAAATAGAAGCAGACAATATGTCCAATGCGGTTTTTTAAAATTTTTAGAATTTTGCCATTTCTAGAAAGTGAATATTATTATTTTTCCTTAAAAAACAGCTTTCAATCAAAGCGTTCAACAATTCTAGTTGATTCTGAAGATAAATTAGGAAAAGTCTGTTAAAGGTCACGGACAGACGTAGTACATTTGAATATAAACCTTTCCGGTCCCAGTTTCTACTGTATCGCATGGACATAGGTTAAATAAAGCAGACACTCAATAGGATTAGCCGGTGCAACAAGGTTGACGCGGTCAGACTTTAGGTTGAATTTACTTTTACTAAAGGGCCAGAGATGTGTGAGGTTTAAAGGATGATACCGTTGTGAATCGGGGGTTGCCCCTCTTTGAATGGGAGGTAGTTTGAAACTACGTTTATAGGCCCTTTTAACACTATTTGTTTAACCATCTTTTTGTCTAAAATTAGATGCCAAACTGCAATCCCACATTGACATGTGGCATTTCTAACTTGACAATTTTATCTGTTTAACATCTTAAATAAACCTTTCTTATTTGGGCACAGACACGATACAGTTTAAACTAAAAAATGAATAAGAAACGAAAGGAAACTTAAAAACATCAGGGTTACCCTCAAAGTACAAGACTGTAAAGCACGACCTTAATCTCAAAATAATGAAGATACCAACGTTAAATTAAGTCTTTAGACTTGAATACAGTGTTTTATTTTGTTATTAAATGATTTTGCAAAGCTTACAGTTTCAGGGAATTTAAGCATAGATTACGTACGGTCGTCATGTATGAAGTTTTATTCTTTGTGGGTAACCCTAATTTTTTATATTTTTAAAACAAAACATTAGAATTTTTTACATTTTTGACCCGTTTATAGTCCATGTCTTTTTAGAACGTTAAGCAACGATCTTAAAGATAAATTGGTTTAGCATATTTGGCCTTTAACTTCCATACTTTCCTGATATTTTTTATGTTATGAGTTACGGGTAAATGAATTGAATCCCATATTTCCTGCTAGGATGTTAAAACATTTCAAGTTGAAAGACATTTATAATTCTATTAACTGAAAATGCCAATCAAACAATTAATTATTTACCGAGCTCGGAAAAAAATCGGAAATGATTTAAAGTCCTTGATATTTATCCCTCGTTTCCATTTTTCAAACTATCACCTTGAAATTTTGTTACTTTTAATGAATAGAAGTATAAAGGATTTTTTGTAAAATTTTTTTTTTAATGCATGGGTAAGATACAGGGCGGATAAATGTTCGGTCTGTGAAAAAAAAATCTGAAATAATTTTTTGTTCCTAAAACTAAAAACTTTGATCTAAAAACTTTATTTTTAAAAAGCCCTAGAAAAATGCAGAAAAATGTCTCACACATTGTTTGTTTAAATCAAAAAATATATTTTTTCATTTTTCTGACCCTTTTTCGGCATTTTTTTCAACCCTCCCTATGAAAGTTATTGGTCTTGTTTTTTTTCAATGAGCTTGAAAAATTGGGCCATGAACATGCATTTTTACCCTATACCTATTTTTTAAGGTCTTTTTTTCTAGGGGGTGGGGGGTGGGCTTAGAAATAGTTTCAGACCCCCCAGCCTTTATAGTATTTTTTCATGATTTCATATTTATCCCCCCCCCATAGCACTCACACGCTTAAATATCTTCATAAACATATAATTTTCGTAAAAGGTTAAATTGAAAAATAAAAATAAAATTATAAATATGTCATCCATTAAATCAAAAAGTATGACCAAGACAAGACTAACTAAAGTAAACTGCGTGTAAGATTGAAATCATAACTCCTTATTGCAGCCTTGCACGCACCCCTGACCCTTCAGTAAAAGTAAATTTAACCTAAAGTCTGACCGCGTCAACCTTGTTGCACCGGCTAGTCCTACTGAGTGTCTGCTTTATTTACCCAATGTCCGTGCGATACAGTACAAACCTGGACCTGAAAAGTTGACCCGGCTCAGAAATTCAAATATACCATGATGCCCATGATTGAGAAGCAAAAATCTTACCGGATAATAAATCAATCCCTTGTAAATTAAACATGCAGTTCTTTTTTTTCAAATGTAGTTTGTCACTTACAGACACTAGCAATCAAAAATGTCTCAAACAGGACACAATCCACACGGCTACAATCCCATGAACTATCAACGACACTACCACTTGGTGCAATCTTGTTAGCTATCGGTATCAATATGATCAATGTCTCAAACAGGACACGATCCACACGGCTACAATCCCATGAACTATCAACGCCACTCCCACTGGGCGCGATCTTGTTAGCTATGTCAACTAGACAATAGCAATCAATTGATCAATGTCTTAAACAGGACACAATCACAAAAATTGTAATCAAAGCGGAGTTTCTATATTAACTGATGTATTTGAGGTTACAAGTTAAAGTTAATAGACGTAGTTAAAAATCCTACATCCCTTTCTATATCACATGATTTTAAGGCAATCATGTTAAGTATTACAGCACAGTTGAAATAGGCGCAGTTAAGATGTACTTCATTATATATATCACAGGAGTAGTTTTTTGAAACACAGTTCAAATTAATAATGGGTTTTATGTAGAAGTTCACAAACATAGAATAATAATAATGTACAACGTACTGCAGGTTTACAGCATATCCTGCTACACAATATTTATCACATACCTAGATATAGAGCTCGGCATGGTAGGGTAAGATTTCCATTGACCGGTTTCATAAACCGTTGACCAACAGTTTTTATCTTGATCTGGGCCTCTTCACTTCCCACAAACTCAACTTAAAAAATTAAATTATATTTATTAATGTCAATTAAAAATACTGTTTTGGAAACGTTCTAATGTTTTTGATAAAAAAGAAAACTCCAGATAGGGGCACGGAGCGCCCTCAATCCCTCGAGTATGTAGAAATACATATGTATTTGTGAGGAATTTCAATACATTTCTATATAATCTATCCTGCTACTCTTAACTCAACTAATTTTACTATTTATCTACTTATTCATACGTATATACTATAACTGAAGTGTCTAGTGTTGCCCATGCAATAAAAAAATGTTTAGTCTCTGTTTCCCTCTGGGTACCTATGGGGTCCCTAAAAATTGTTTAGCCAATTTGGTCCAGCCGTATAGCCATCTATAACTTACATATAAATGTATATATAAGATAAGATAAGATAAGATAAGAAAAAGTTTATTGCTAAAATACATGTATCTGTTTACAAAACGAGTTTACAATTACAAATTGATGATTAATTAACAGTGATTATTTTTTTAAACTCAACAATCTTCTTAAAACATTTTATTCATAAATACAGTTTTATTGTTTCATGCTTATTATGCAGTCATCAGTATATATATTTATATATTTATATTCATAAATACAGTTTTATTGTTTCATGCTTATTATGCAGTCATCAGTAGATATATTTATATATTTATATTTATGAAACAATTTGTTTATGAATAAAATGTTATAAGAAGATTGTTGCATTTCAACTGATATATATTTATATGTAAGTTATAGGTGGTTATACGGCTGAACCAAAAATGGCTGACATTTTTTGAGGAAACCCATAGGTTCCCTGGGGGACACATAGGTTAAACATTTTTTTAATTACATGGGCAACACCGGACACTTCAGCTTGTATATACTTATGAATAAAATGTTATAAGAAGATTGTTACGTTTTTATATATAAAATATATATAAGCTTATATGAACTATATTATATTGATATATTATATATATTTCTATAGTTTTCTTTTCTATTAGAAAATAAGTTTTCAACAACAAAATTTAATTTCTATTGTATTTATTCCCTATCTATCGATATAATTTTTGTAGTATTGTACATGTTTGTGCAACTCTCCTGTATTTTTTTTTTTTTTGATTTTTTTTTAGTAAATGGCCCGCCAAAAAAATCCGCGAAACGTTTTTTTCTCTCAAAATCAAAAGTTCAGAAAAACAAAAATGTGTAAATACATTATTTCTATCATATTCTAAAATTATATATGTATTCTACTGTAGATGCAATTATTTATATTATAAAAACTAATTTTAGATATTAAGGTCAAAACAATATAATAATCATCTTCATCTAAAGTTCATTCAATTTTCCTTTTTTTAACTTTTTTTTTAAAAAAGCTTTTTAACAAAAATCTGAATTTCAAGCTTGGTTTTATCACTCATTTAATTGTGTAAAAGATTAACTGGTAAAAGAAATCCTAATATTTTGTTTATTATATTGAAATTGTCTAATTTTTGTGTTCGGAAGTATTAACAGAATATTAAGAAAAAAAAGTATTTTTACATCTATAACATTTTGTTAACGTACTGATGTCCTATCTATGTTATCTTTGGTCTTACAAATTTCCTTTCTGTGTAAACTGTGTATAGTTTCTAAACATTTCCCTATTGTTTGACATTCCGCTAATTTGTTGGCTTTGAACTTAAATCCAAAATGTTTGCTTGTTAGTTAGCTTGTTAGATGGTTAATTTGTTAGTTAGCTTGTTAGATGGTTAATTTGTTAGTTAGCTTGATAGATGGTTAATTTGATAGTTAGCTTGATAGATGGTTAATTTGTTAGTTAGCTTGTTAGATGGTTAATTTGTTAGTTAGCTTGTTAGATGGTTAATTTGTTAGTTAGCTTGTTAGATGGTTAATTTGATAGTTAGCTTGATAGATGGTTAATTTGTTAGTTAGCTTGTTAGATGGTTAATTTGTTAGTTAGCTTGTTAGATGGTTAATTTGATAGTTAGCTTGTTAGATGGTTAATTTGATAGTTAGCTTGATAGATGGTTAATTTGTTAGTTAGCTTGTTAGATGGTTAATTTGATAGTTAGCTTGTTAGATGGTTAATTTGATAGTTAGCTTGATAGATGGTAAGGTTAGATAGTTGATTTATTTGCCAGTTTGCTAGTTAGTTGGTTATTTGAAAATCTAGATCACATAGGCCTCAAACTAATATTTTTCTAATCTTCTTATCTTTGCAACCTGATGTTTTAAACTTTTCATATTTCAAACTTTGAGCACGATCTAGGAGAATTTTAGTTAGAAATATATACATGTATTCATTTTACATTTCTTTACACCTTGTCATACATTTTCGAATAAATTAATTTACTTTTAATTATTTTGGATTGTAAAAATAATACAACTTTTTTTTCAGTTTTCAATTTTACATAAAATAAATCGCTGGTATTTTTCCGAAATATATAGAACTAGCTTGGGAATAGGAACCCAGCGCTGCCCGGGTTACTAAAAGTTACTCCGCTGTTTACCCGCACTTGAACGAGTTTACCGGGAAAATAAACTATCGCTATTAAAGTCAACCTATTCATTTAAATCTCAAAACTAAGCTAAGAACATTCCCTTGGGTCTCCCGAGTTCCCTAATCAAAATTTTAGGCAATTCGGTCCAGGGGTTCCTGAGTTATGATTGGACAAACAAACAGACAGACAAACAGAGATTACAACTTTGTATATATATATGATAAACTTATAACTTAAATAAATAATGATCTTGATGAAATTAAATATTTTTAACATATTTTCATCATTTTTCCTACTGATTGTGAGGAGGGGGGATGTTTATTGAATATTTTTTTTTATTTCTAGCTATTATATAAATAGTTTCAGAACCTCCCCCCCTTAAAAAAACCTTAAAAAACGAATAACAATCGTTTTTGAAAACGATCATTTTTATAGAAACGATTTCCGACCGTTTTTAATGCGATTGTTTTTAAAAAAACGATAATTTTATTTTAAAAAATGATCGTTAACGAAACGACGAACTTTATGAAAACGGTCGTTTTTGGAAAAACGATCGTTTTAAAAAAAAATTACATGCAACTTTCTTGAATGTCGTCTTACATGAACTTAAACAGTTGTAGGGGAGCTAAAACTTCTTGATATTTTCTTAAAAACTACTCAATAATAAGTACAGATGCCCTTCAGGTCTGTTTCCTCTCTTCGTTAACGATCATTAACGAACGGTCGTCGTTAACATTCGTCAACAAAACGACGAAATTTATAAAACGATCGTTTTGAAAACGACCATTTTAAAAACGAACTTAAAAAAAACTTTTTAAAAACCCCCCAACCTATTTTCTAATATAATCTTGATCAAGAGGAGTGGAGAAATCAGGAGTAAATCAGATTGATTATCCTGTATCCTCCAAGTGCACTAGATAAGTGACCAATATTGGTTCAATTCAGAAAATAAAGGATTTAAGTTTGGAAAAGAGAAATGTCTAATGCATTGAGAAGAGACACTTTGTATACTATTGCAATTCTTTTTGCTTTAAAGCTTTAGCAGGATAATCTATAGTCAGAGTCAGAGGGTTTACCTTTTAGATTAAAATGTTTAAAAGTTTTGCAGAATAAATTGGGTTTTTTTTGGCTGCAAACACTGATTTTCTAATATTTTTGCAACCCAATGTCGTGGACCTTTGTAATTACAAATTTTAAATTCTGTTAGATCAAATTTCTGTATTTTTAACCTTTATTTGTTTTAAGAGTACTGGCAAACGGAGCTCAAGCTGTATTCGACTATTGTCCTTATATCTTTACAACCTGATGGGGTAACAATACATGCATGATTATTTAACAACAATATTATGTTTCACAGTTTTTAGGACTGATAAATCACAGTTTGAGGCGAGTTATTAACTCCTAAAACCCCATAATGGCTGGGGGTGTCTCCCCCCCACCTAGAATAAGGCCTTAGAAAATAGGTATAGGGTTAAAATGCATGATTATAGCCCAATATTTCAAGGCCTGCTCATTTTATAAAATTAGGTCTATAACTTTTCTTTTGTAGTTTGGGTGCTAGGGAAGGTTAAAAAAATGCCAAAAAAGGTAAAACAAATGTAAAAGAAAATTTTTTGTTTTTAAACAAATTTTTTAAGAGCTTTTCAAAAATATAGTTTTATGAATTTTTATTTACTCAGACCAGATTTTTTACCGCCCTGTACCCTACCATTTGCAAAAATTTCACGGTATAGTGTCAAACCAACTAGAGAGGGGCGCCAAGCAGCCCCCTCCCCCCCAGCCTGTTTAGGGTTAAGCATCAAGTCTATGGCAAAATTTGCTAAAAACTAACGTTTTAAAACGATATTTTTAGTTAGATTTTTCCAAATATTAATTTTATTTTACAGTTTTGAAATGTTGGAACCTTTAGAAATTCACAGTATTATTTGCAACAATACCAATTCTAATACCAATTATTTTGAAAATACTAAAAATAAATGTTGGGGTGCTTTTTCACACTTGGGGTTTTCGGGGTCCTGGGAATGATACCCCTTTCTCCCCCCCCCCCAGACGGGGAGGGTCCCTGGGCCCTAAGATTCTCTAAGTTTGAAAAATTGAAGTTCTGTAATACTATTAAAAAAATATTGTACACTTAATTATCTTTTCTAAAAACCTTTTTTTAAAATTCAAAAAAGAAAAATTGTTAAAAAATTTGTGAAGGAAAAAATTCCAAAAAACGTAAAAGTTCTTTAAAAAAATAAGTTTGCTTTTTTCCCTTATTTGTAATAAATTCGCTTATTGTATTTACACTTTGGTTCATACCCTGGAAAACGTGTTAATGTAGAATTAATTACGAGAAAGGAAATATACAATATTGGATCCTTATTTTAGAGGAAGTGTAATTCTAGCCTTTACATGGTAATATGAATGCACTTTGCAAACTGTTTTAATGGGAAATTTCTTTATATAAAGCAGCAAAACATTATTACTTTGGGAAACAAATAGAAGTAAAACTTATTATCAATATTTCTACTATAGTTTATTTAAAGCGCAACTACTGATTTTAAAATATAGCAGAACAAATCTAAGTAAAAAAATTGAGATTTTTGCCACAAACGATGATTTTCTAATCCCTATTTCTTTCCAACCCGATATTCTAGATTTAGGGTTGCAAAAACTTCCTCATAATTTAATTTAAAGGAATTAAGTTTTTTTTGCCAACAACTCAATTGTTATAATTCCTTAATTTTTGCAACCTGATAGTATTTCAAACTCATTTGATCCAACTGAATTCATAAGTGATCCAACTGAATTCATAATTTGAACTATCTCAGGTCTACGCTGTTGGGTTGCAAAGATACAAGAATTAGAAAATCCGAGTTTCTATATATATATTTACATATATATATATATATATATTTACATATATATTTGGTTTGGTAATCAGAGTGTCCGGAGGACGATGTCTACGGATCTCCACAATACCGAAAAATCACTCAACTACTAAAAACTGAAATTGTTCCTCTTCACATCTAAAACTTTTAAGAGGAGATAAACTGGGGGGGGGTTTCTGCCCAAGCGAAGAATTCAATATATTGTTGTGGACCATTTTATTAAAGCCCCCCACCCTCCCCCAAATTCAATTTTTTTTCACCTCCCCCTTGGCGGACAAAAAAAAACATAAACAACCCGAAAAAAACTTGTTTACCTGGGAGGAATACAGCGACGAGAAAAGGTGCTCCAACATATCTCAGCAATGATAACATAACGATATTTTCTGCTCCGCTACTCACATCGTTGTCTCAAATTCTGAAATATATAGTTTTGTTCTGAAGAAAACAATTTGAATAGAACTGCACTGCATAGTCCATTAACTAGAGCTTTGTAGGGAAATAAAGAATAAATTGTCAACTTCAAGCCAAGATAAATTTATTCCTTTGCCGGGCAAAAACTTTTATTTCATTAAACTTGAGTTCCTTCCTTGGAAATGAAGATTTTACAGATTTATCTGTTTTGATTGTTTTCAAGTGTTTGACTTCCAGAAGTTTGAGTTTAGTTGAAGCCTTGAACTGGATTTAGATGAGACAACTTTTAAAAAAATATTCGATCAAATTTTATATTTTAATGAACATGTAGACGTAATTTTAAGTGACACTACAAGTAAAAATTCTAATGACAATCTTTTTTATGTAAAAAAGGCTTTAATTATGGCCCATTTAAAAAAAAACTTTTAATTGTTGCTCTATCTGTGAGCATCTTTCATTTGAAGAATAAAAATAATATTTTTTCGCACATTTTCAAAAAATTACAAAAATAAAAAACTTTTGAACACAAATTTTTGGAATTTCGAGCATCCTTAAACCTTGTCATGTGAGGCCGGCCCTACATTGGTTCAGCCGTCTTACGTTCATTGGATGCAAACATACTGACAGACAAGCAAAGTATAGAGATATATGTACAATTGAGGATTTACACACCAAGAGCGAAAGAAGATAATTGTCAGAATTCAACAGTTTTCCAACTACTAAACTCATCATAATCTTTCTCAATTTAAGGTTTAAAATTTAATATTATCGTTGTATATGAATGAATGCAAACTTACGCAAAAATCGAGCAGGAATTTGCCAATAACTCTTTAAAACTTAAGCGAGTAACAAGCCCATTTAATTTTTTAAATGCATATGCCTAGAGCTACAAAAAAGTATAAGAAAGTTGGTGAGGTTAGACCAAAGGCCAAGGTGAAGATGAGACTTCTTAAACATTTGCTGACTATCTTTCAGAGTTGTCTAAATCTCATGAGTGAGTTGAGTTGTCTAAATCTCATGAGTGAGTTGAGTTGTCTAAATCTCATGAGTTTTCAGAGTTGTCTAAATCTCATGAGTTGAGTTTTGAAAATTTTCTTACGTTATCTAGCTTTCAGGATTAATTCAAACCAACAGTTCTGTTTTTTACGTATTCAATCCTACAATCAAGAACTATATAAAATAATATTGTTCTATAACGGGTCACACTATAAATCACCATTTTGTAGAAGCATTGATCAGTATTGACCATTAAGTTGGAAAATGTAACAAAAGGTGACAAGCTTTTAAAACAGTTAACAATACTTTTTAACAACAGTTTATTCTTGACGAGAAGTTTGAATTCATTGTCGAACCAAAGCATTTAATGTATATTCAATCTTTTACTTGTTCTTCACTGTAAAAATTCCAGTTCAAGTACCGGACCGATGTTTAATCAACTACTGCGAGCTGTACAGCACAAATACAGACGCCAAATGAACATTGTATAGTTTATAATATCCAGCTGAATAATATAGTTTATAATATCCAGCTGAATAATATAGTGTATAATATCCAGCTGAATAATATAGTTTATAATATCCAGCTGAATAATATATAATATCCAGCTGAATAATATAGTTTATAATATCCAGCTGAATAATTCTTATTTTTAATATTGTAAGTGTGCGAAGACCAAGATTAATAACTATAAGAATAATGTTTCATATTTTCGCATCCTTCAATAGAAGGAGAAACATAATAATAATGATAATGATGTAATAATATAACCATACAATTTTATGCTCATGTTGTAGTCCTCTTTCATTGCTTTCATGTTATATATCATTGCTTTCATGTTAGTTTTCACAGCTTTCATGTTAGATTTAATAGCTTTCATGTTAGATTTAATAGCTTTCATGTTATATGTCAATGCTTTCATTTTTGATTTTATAGTTTTCATGTTAGATTTCATTGTTTTCATGTTAGATTTCATTGTTTTCATGTTAGATTTCATTGCTTTCATGTTAGATTTCATTGTTTTCATGTTAGATTTTATTGTTTTCATGTTAGATTTCATTGTTTTCATGTTAGATTTCATTGTTTTCATGTTGGATTTCATTGTTTTCATGTTGGATTTCATTGTTTTCATGTTATATTTCATTGTTTTCATGTTAGATTTCATTGTTTTCATGTTAGATTTCATTGTGTTCATGTTATATTTCATTGTTTTCATGTTAGATTTCAGTGTTTTCATGTTAGATTTCAGTGTTTTCATGTTAGATTTCAGTGCTTTCATGTTAGATTTTATTGTTTTTAATATATATTTCTTGGATCATGGGTTTCCGGAAAGAGTTCATTGCTTCCCTCCCAAAATAATTATTAAATTGAATGAATAAAAATTTTAATAAACATGTTTTTATCATAGAAAAAATTCTTTTGAAAAATTTAATTGAAAATTTTTATTTTAAAGATTTAAGGTTTTTCCAGTAGACAAAATCGATATGGTTTTAGCGAGCCTATTTTCTGAACCATTAGATAAATTTTTTTTTGAGTAAATCATAGTTCGCGAATTTATGTACTATTCATTTTTTTCAAAACATTCCAAATAAAAAATCGTTTTATGCCACCAACGTATAGCTAGCTTGTAATATTATTCTTAAATAATTCATCATATTTAAGTGCAACAATCGAATTATGTATTGAGACAGACGAAAAATGAAGAACAAATATTTTACCCCCAAAATAAACAGTTTGAAATTAATTTGTGTTAACAGGGTTTAATACTTATTTAAACTAGTTAAAGACGAATTAGAGTTTAGTTATTTTTTGAGGGAAAAAGCAATTGTTGAGACTAAAAAACCTTTGACTGGAACGAACTTATGGACATTTTTATTATGCTTTTAAAGGGATTATGAACGTAATTTCCTTTGACCCTCCATGTATGACTGTAATGTTAAACTTATAATAGTATCTTTCAAGCGTTGTTTGCGCAAGAAAAACACTCCTGTATTCCGGTCCATTAGCACCTGATCCAATCAGGGTTCAGTCATGTGTTTGTTGTTTATTCTGAACCAATAGAAATAGTATTGCGGTAATCTATCTATCTTTCTATCTATCTCACTTTCCAAATTTTTATTTATTATTATTCTATCTTTTTTTCTAACATTTTAAGATTTATTTTCAATATACTTCTGACTGGGTTTTGACAAGGTTGATTTATAATATTCGTTCGAAGCTTAGTATTTGCAAATCATTGGAATATCAATATCTGGAAACAGAAATAAACTGTCTGCTGCATTTTCCAATTCTTTAAAATCTAAAGGTTTTACAGGGAAAGTAGCATTGCAGTACAATTTTTATGTCTTTATGTTCTCTAAAAGTAGCGCAGAAGTATTATAAATTGATTGGATTCATAGTGGTTTTGTTGGCAATAACGACTCGCGCGCAACACTTGCAATCGAAGGTCATTTTGAATTACCTTTAAGCGAGGTTGACTATTCAAATTAGAATGAACATACAACAACAAAAACCATCTCACCTGAAAATCTAACAATTTGGCAACTGCTACAATCATTCAAAGTATAGATCCCATATAAACCCAGACAGCTAAAAAATGTTGCATATGATTTTCAAGACTCATGCACCTCTGACCCTTCAGTAAAAGTAAATTCAACCTAAAGTCTGACCGCGTCAACCTTGTTGCACCGGCTAGTCCTATTGAGTGTCTGCTTTATTTACCCAAAGTCCGGGCGATACAGTAGAAACTGGGACAGGTTGACCCGATTTGGAAATTCAAATGTACTACAGCTGCCCGTGGATTGGGTCAAGTTTTTAGTGTCGTTGCACCTTGGCCTTTGATGCATACAGAACGTTTTTAAGCTTTAGTTTTTACCAAAAAATCGCAAAATTCTCATATACAGTTTTGCACAACAGCTTTCAACCTTTTGATCACTGTAAGATATCAATGCAAAAAAAGCAGAACAAGTTTTTGATACAAGTTCGCAAATTCAATTTCCAAAAATTAAATGTAAGCCAATTATATCTGTAAACCAAACCATAGCTGTAAACCAATTCATATCTGTAAACCTAACCATATCTGTAAACCAACCCATATCTGTAAAACAACCATATCTGTAAACCAAACTATATCTGTAAACCAAACCATATCTATAAACCAAACCATATCTATAAACCAAACCATATCATATCTGTAAACCAACCATATCTGTAAACCAAACCATATCTGTAAATCAAACCAAATCTGTAAACCAACCATATCTGTAAACCAAAATATCTATAAACCAAACCATATCTATAAACCAAACCATATCATATCTGTAAACCAACCATATCTGTAAACCAAACCATATCTGTAAATCAAACCAAATCTGTAAACCAACCATATCTGTAAACCAAACTTTATCTGTAAACCAACCATATCTGTAAACCAAACCATATCTGTAAACCAAACCATATCTGTAAACCAACCATATCTGTAAACCAAACCAAATCTGTAAACCAACCATATCTGTAAACCAAACCATATATGTAAACCAACCATATCTGTAAACCAAACCATATCTGCAAACCAAACCAATCTGTAAACACAGTCCGATATATGCCTAACTTCAAATTATTTAATTTCTTTACAGAAAAACTATGGAATAAAAAAATTTAAGGCGTCAAACCTTATAGAAATCCAACGTCTGGACCCGTTACGTATAGCAACATGGCGTATTTTCCGTGAGAACATTTTTTTATATTTTTGAAAAATTAAACGTTTTTGTAAAATATTGTAGCTTATGATTATAATTATCATAATTTCTATTTTTTTTAACAAAACTTAGACATTAAAGGAGCAAAATAGTTTAATGCGTACATTTTAGGTTTGGAAAAAATTCTTGAAAGTATAAAAAAAGTTCTCCAGTAATGCTAATATGATTTCCTAAAATTTCGTTTTACCATTTAAATAAAAGGATTTTATGAAAATTATATTTACTTTACACTGATAATTTAATTTTTCAAAAATATAAGAAATGTTCTCCCGAAAAATACGCCATGTTGCTATACGTAGCGGGTCCATACGTTGGATTTCTATAAGGTTTGACGCCAAAATTTAAAACCTGGCAAGCAATCAAAGATATTTCCTTTTTTCATGCAGTCTTTTTTGTAAAATCGAAAATATAGTCAATGCGCATCATTTCAATCTTTTGCCTTTTCAATGTCTTCATCAAAATCTTCTTTGTTTGTTATGTGCATTTTGATATTTAAAGCATATTGAGCAATGACCATTTATCTTGCTTTATTGAAGAGACAACCAACGCGATTTCAATTTACGGAATTAACCCTTTAACCCTATCCCCGCTGGGGAACTTGAAAACCAGGATACGCTGGGGGGGGGGTTCAATTTTCCCCCCCCCCCTCTAAATCCCATGTTTTATGTCCAAATATGACAAATGATACATCATTAGAAAGCTCTTGTGCTCTACTTTTAGAATCTGCAAAAAAATTTGCAAATTTGCGAAAATTGAATTTTTTATCGCAAAATCCAGTTTTATAGTAAAAATGTTTGCAAAAAAAAATTTGTCCAAAAAATGACAAATTATACATTTTTGAAAAGCCCTTGACCATGCCATTTCAAATATGCAAAAATTTTTGCAAAATTTTAAATAACCTGATTTTTAATCAAGAAAAACTAAAAATGTGCAAATTTCCTTTGACAGGTTGTTTGCAAAAAATTTGCAATTTTTTTTCGCAAAACTTGTGCAATCCGTTTCCTTATGTCATAGGCTTTCCAAAAAGCTAAATTTTATCAAAATCTGACAAGTGAAAGTGGGTCAAAACAAAGATTTAGTTTGCTACAGGCAAAAGCAGTCATTCAGGCAGTCTGCCTGAGGACTCAGGCAGTTAGTATTAAAGCCCGGTTTTAGGCCTAAAGGGAGGGCTTTGGGTATGTAAGAAAAGTCAGAAAATTTCAACAGCCTCAGACCAATACTTTTTGAGTTATGTAGAAAAAACTACAGGGGGGGGGTCAAATTGACCCCCCCCCCAGCGGGAATAGGGTTAACCCTAAAGAGGATGGGGGGGGGGGTTTGGGGCCCGCCCCACCTGTAGTTTTTTGTCCTAGCACTCTCATTTTTGACATTATCTCCGTGACATTTTGTGACTTTTAACGAATAGTAAAAATTTTTTTATGCAAACGGAACGGTACAGGGCGGAGAAAAGTCCGGTGTGGGAAAATAAAATAGAACATAGCCTATAAAAATGTTTTGTGACTTAAGCTACAGATCTAAAAACTATATTTTTGAAAAGCCCTTGAAAAATGGATGTAGAAACATGTGTCCACCAAAAAAAAATTTATTGAGTTAGGGTTATCCTTGTGTTTGCTATTGAAAGTTCATATTTTCTACTCCAGTTCTCTAAGAAAGTGACTTGCGGAGTTGCGAATGAGCGACAATGAAGAAAATTGAGATAATTTTTACGCTCACAAGGCAGAAAAACGTTGCTAACAGACTACAGGATTCCATAAAGTTTATTTGAAATCTTGTAAATAGTCTATTGTGTGCATTTGACAACTTAATCTTTAGAAACAAATTTCTTTTTAAAATAAAAATGTAATCAATTCAGAATAATTTTTAATTAAAATATGGATTTCTGTAAAGAAAACACTTTTAAAATTAATTTTTATTTTGAAATTCCATCGAACTTGAAGATGCAGTTTAAAATCAAAGTTAGAATAAAATCTGGAGAAAAATTAGGATTTATTTGTGACATTCTGAATAGCAGGGATTTCAAGGATTTCAACCAATATTTCCGATAAAAACGTTTTCAGTTATGTAACACAATGAGGAAAATAAATGGAGGGGAGGGGGGGGAAATAAATCTAAAAAGAAAGATTATTTATGAAAACGATGTGAA